AAATTTTCATTTTATAATTGCGACATCAACTCCTGGAAGAGTCCTTCCACCTTTTCCAAATGTAGAAACACTCAAGTGTCTCCTGGTGAAAGTAGCTGTGTGTGCGTGGATGCCATCTGGAATGATGACAGACTTTGTCGTCTTGTTCTCCCCATTAGACTGTAAACTCTCTGAAGTAAGGAATTATGTCCTTTTACTTTTTTATATTCCCCAGGGTCCAATTCGGCATTGCTCTGGGCCTAGCAGATGTTCAATAAACACTACTGACAGTGTAAACTGAGTTCTCAGCACTTGAAAATGAGAAATTGCCCACATTTATTGTCAAAGGTTTTTTTGTTTTCCAAAAATTCCTTGCATTCAGGTGCGCGCGCATGCGCGCGCACGTGTGTGTGTGTGTGTGTGTGTGTGTGTGTGTGTGTGTGTGTATGAAAGAGACAGACAGAGGTGAGGATCTCAGGGAGGAAGAGAACCTAAGAATGGAAAGCAGTAAGATATACACAGGAAAAGCACACAGACCCACAACAAGACAGAGGCCCACAGTGGCACGCAGGGACCCACGGAGCTCCTTTCAACACCAATTTTATATAATCATCAGTTAAAAATAGTGTAGTCATCATTCTGGTTCAAGACTTTGCAATTTTGGGTGCTTTATCCCATGACACAGCTAGGGGGGACAGATACATGCTCCAGAATCTTCCCACTCTTGATGAAATAAGTGGAATAGCCTCGAAACATATGACCTACACCTTTATACTGGGCTGTGGAACTCTTGCCACCTTTGGTGAAGCTGTAAAAGCTTTTCCTTCTAAATTATCAACTCCTCGATAGAGTCAGGCATCTATTATGAGGCTGTTTACATGTGAGTGTGACTGCTGTCACTCAAACACTGGCCCTCACAAAAACGCTCTCCAGTCTCCCAGGGAGAGGAGATGCCATGTGGCAGAAAGAGCATGTGCCAAGAGTTGGAGGGTCTGGACGAGTCATGTCTTCCTTCAAGGGGTCGTGTTCTCATCTGTAAAAGGAGCCCAACAATCTCTGCCTGGCTCACTGACTGAAGCGGTGCTCCACTGTCACGTGGGGAAACCAACAGGCACTGTGAGGGGATAGCAGTAAAAGCTTATGGCCACCCAAGAGGACAATAGGGCCTTCCTTTGGACTCACAGTCCCCTACCACTGGGATTTCTTGGGGGAGAATAACAAGACAGGGAAGACAGATTCCTTCTTATGCAATAATTATTTTCAATGTTTTGATACTTTAAGAAATGGCTCTAAAAATATCAAATTGTGGCAGGTATGGTGGTTCAAACCTGTAATTCCAGCACTTTGGAAGGCAGAAAGTGGGAGATTTGCTTCAGGTCAGGAATTTGAGATCAACCTGGGCAACCAAAAGAAAAATCAGCTGGGTCTGGTGGCACACACCTGTAAGTCCCAGCTACTCAGGAGGCTCGATGGGAGGATTGCTTGAGCCCAAGAGGTCGAGGTTACAATGAGCTATGATTGTGCCACTGCAGCCTGGATGACAGAGCAAGACTCTGTATCCAAAAAAAAAAAAAAAAAACCCAATCGTTTTTCATGTTGGATTGTAATCACAATAAGTAAATTAAACAATGTGCCTTGGTGATTAAGATCAGAGCTTTGAAAGCTTTGAAGTGACAAAACACCCATGCCTGGGCCCCAGTTTCCCTTCTTACAATCTGTGTGACTTTGGGCAAGTTGTCGAACCTTTAGAAACCTGGGTTTTCTCATCAGCTAAATGGGGTTAATAGTAGAACCTGCCTCCAAAGGGCATTAGAAGATAAAATTAGATGGTTTGTCAAACATTTTTGTCAAGAGCCTGACACCTCATAAGCTCTCCAAATTAATGGTGATTATTATTAATGTTCATTATTTCCTCCTATTATTTGAGAGTCATCTAATACATGCATAGCTAAGATTATACAAGTAACCAAAATAGCGCCTGAACAATCAAAATAGTGTCACAATGTACATGCCTAAAAGCCTAGACACTTCATTCATAGAGTCATGCCTGTATCCTCACCTGCTTATTTATTGTGACTTTATATACAACTCTAAGTAAACTAATAACCATGGACACATGATTGACCATTTATTATGGGTCGGGTACTTCACTGGAATGTGTCAGATTTGTTATCACACTAAATCTTCATAGTCTCACGAGGTAAGGATAGTCATTGCCCCCATTTCACAGAGGAAGAAATGGAGGCTGACAGAGGCTAAGTGACTTACCCCAGGTGAAAGTGATTAAGTGGGCCACTCAGGACGTGACGCCAGCCAATCTGATGTCAGCCTACACTCTTAATCAGTGTAGGGACTGCCTCCATGATCAGCTTGGCCATCCCATCTCCTGGCTCACAGCATGTTGGAAAAAGAGTTGGGGGCTGGGGAAGAGCCACAGCAACAGGTACCTGAGAGTGACAGGCACATTGCTGATGGACTGATAGAAAGGAAAGGGGAAGGGATAAAAAGTTTGCAAAAAAGATCACCACGGCACAGCTGTCCACATATTTTTCTTTTCTTTTTTTGAGTTGTAGTCTCACTCTGTCACCCAGACTGCAGTGCAGTGGCCGCTCCCAGTCACTGCAGCCTCAACCTGCTGGGCTCTGGCGATCCTTCCGCTTCAGCCTTCTGAGTAGCTGGAACTACAGGTGCGTGCTACCACGCCTGGCTGAGTTTTGATTTATTGTAGAGATGAGGTCTCGCCAAGTTGCCCAGGTGGGTCTCAAACCGACGGGCTCAGGCCATTCACTCACCTCAATATTTAAAAGCCCCTTACATGAGGTGGAAAAAGTGTGGGTGGTCTACTAAAGGGGACAATTCCCTTGGGACAGTTTGTCTGTGTTGCATATCTGTGACAATATTGCATAAATAAGGCACTGCCTTTCAAAAAAGATGATATACAACATGAGAATGAAAGAAATACCAACACCTAGGCACATCTGAATAACTTGTTCATGAATCCTTACCTATTGTTTTAACCCACTGCATAATGTAACCCAGCTTCTATCAAGTCTTGAGAAAAACAATCCTTTGGTGTACTCTGTACCTCTCAGCTTAAAATCATAGCTTTCGTGCTTTTGGCCAGTGCTGCATTTAAAGGTCTCACAGATTAATGCCACCAGATAATTTGAAGAGATGTGTATTGAAAATGGAGATGTAAACATTATTAAAAAACAAAAACTCGAGGGTAAAAAAGGCATTAAGTGGCATTCCTTGCCCAGGCAGCTGTCAGCCAGGGTTTTCACACCCATCCTCAGCCACAACGGAAGCTGGTAGAGGAACAGGGATGTGTGTGAAACCAGAAGCCCCTTGCAGCTCCCTGTTTAGAGCCTCAGATTTTGTTTTATGCCTATCCATATCATATTCTCCAGGCTCCATAAAAACTGCTTTTCAAGTCCCAAAATGAAGCTTATCAGAACCTGCCTGCTTGAAACACATTTAAACCAAATTTGAAAAGATTTTAAAATAGGCATTTCAAATTGATAAAATCATAACAATGATATCTTTACACAGCCCTCTCTGTCTGGTTATCTGAGCAGGAGAAACCTCCAGGAACAAGGAAAGAGTCTCTTTCACCAGCAGCCCATGTTCACATCGACCTACCATCAAGGTCCAGACAGTAGAAAGGCTATCTGGAGACAAAAGGGTAACCTTGTCCCTTGAAGTTAGGGTGGCCAGATTTAGCAAACAGAAATATAAGACAGTTGTATCTGAATTTCAGATAGGCAAAGAATAATTTTTTACTAGACGTCCCAATCAATATTTATGACATGCTCATATTAAAAAATTATTTTTGTTTATCTGAAATTCAAATGTAATTGAGTGTCTTGTATTTTATCTGACATCTCTAGTCTAGGCTCCAGTTCCCTAGGGGATTTGGGATGCATGGGACTGGGCTGAGTGGGAGTTCCAATGAGTGGCAAAACCAATGGAGGATTCCCTTCCCTGCCTTCTCCCACTCTTCTCCAAGATTCCATGGCTCCAGGCAATCCCACTCCATGTCCCATCTTTCCATCTAGAAACACCTTCTCTGATTCCTCTGCCCAACAGTCATCCTCTACCACCCACTTCCTACCCTGACTTCCTCCCACACCGAGGTGCACACTTGTAGAGATGCTGTAAGTAAACACGTAAGAACTTGTTTGCTTCCACATTCCATTGTTCCTTGTTCTGTTTCCCAAGTGAGGCTGCAAATAGGCTTTGGAGGGGCTCTTAATTGGAGGTTCCTTTTCACTTTTTTCTTTCCCCATATAGACCCCCTCCTACCCACTGTACTCAGATGCCAGGAAGCACATCGGAGTGTGTTCTCTTTGGGCATAATTTCGAAACCTGATTTAAAGCAAAAGCTTAACCAGCATGTGCCATTTACCTGGCAGAAGTTTTTATGAACTCTGCCCCCACAGACACTGCCTTGACTCTGGCAATGAATGCCCTGTTCCCCTCACTACTTTACACTACTGATTAGTGGTCTTTAATCAACCACAGTCTATAATCATACAGATTTAATAAAAACAGGAAGGAAAGAGCTCTTGCTTCCAGGCTTCCAAGGGTGTGCTTGCAGCAAAACATTTACAGCTAAGCTATAAAATGCATGGAAATATGGAAGAAACATTGACACAACAATAAAATGAGGGGTGAGATTAATGATGCCATAATACAATCTGTTTTCATTTGGTGCAGAGAAAATTAATTTTTGAAGACATTTCATTTAACTTTGCAATATTTTGCAGTTTAACCTCTGATGCCTGCAACTTTTTCTTTTATCTACTCTCCTGCTTAAGCCTAAGGATAGGGAAGCAAGTTTTACATCTAGTTGTAAGTATGACTTCTTGGCAAATTATTTCTTCTCTGGACAGAGGCGAGAAAAATATACTCAGGGAACAAAAGTTATTGCTGACCATAACTCACAGCTCTTCACTTCCTACCGAAACACCCATTTTAAGAATCCAAAACACAGCTTCTGGAAGAATAAGATGTGTTACCTTCCAGAGCAAGGCACCGGGGTGGGCTGGACGACCAGATAAGGTTGTGTAAGCACTCGATGTTCGCAGATCCCTCGAGTTTAAATCCAGGAAAGCAGCGATAGGCGATCACAGACCCCACTGGGAAGGACATCTGCAACTCAGACATGTTCACGTAGCCATTAGAAGAAGCTAGAGGTCTCAGGCAGCCTGTAGAAGGTGAAAGAAAAAGGGAAGGGCTTCACTCAGCCATCTCAGCACGTCTAAAAGTCAAACAGAATACCAGATTCCCCTGCTTATTTTATTTATAATGCAGATATTTGCTTTTCTATTTGCAAATGGCACCAAAAGGGTCAGAGAAGTAGTTAAGTAGGAGGGAGGGTAGTGAGCATCTGACCGTGGACTGGCGTACTCCTAGTCGGGTGATTCCAACCCTGGCTGCACATTAATGTCACCTGAGCAGATTTTTAAAAACATGCCTCATGCCCAGAATGTGGGGAGAGCCTGGGAATTTAGGGATCACTATCTTTTTTTTTTGGAAACTCCCCAAGCAATCCTAACGTGCTGGCAGGGTGGCCACTGACGTGCCATAAGAGGAAAGAAAAGTCAACAGTTTCATTGTAGGGGCTGGGTGACTTGGGAAGGTTATATTCCAAACTCAATTCTACCGAAGCAGATTATAGAATAGAATCCTGCCTGAGATGGTGGCGTTAAATTTTTGAAAATCCAGTTGAATTTTAAAATCGATGAGGAACCCTGTAGTGTAGTGGTTCTCAAACTCAAGAATGATCAGAGAGCTGGTTAGAACACAGGCTGCTGGGCCCACCTGCAGAGATTCTGTTTCAGCAGGTCTGGGGTGGGAGCCTGAGGCCTGCATAGCTAACTTCCAGGTGCCGCTGCCTCTGCCGGTCTGCAGACCACCAGAGAAGCACTTCTGTTGAGTTGGCGCATCAAGTCCAGTACTCTGTGTGCGGTCAGGATAGAAGTGGGGCCTGGGTTCCACACTCCTACTTCTGTAAAACATTAGCTGCCTGAAGCCTGTGCAGCGCAGGAGAACATTCTTGGTGGCACAGAATTCAGTGGCATCCACTGTGATCATGGCATTTCTTATTGCTTTAGCAATTTCACTGGAGGGAATAATGGCACTGCAGAGCTGGGTTCTTCCAGGGGAGAGCTAACTGTGTGTGAAGTAAATAATGCATAATGAAAATGCCCACTTTCCCTTCCAGTTCCCAAATACACATTGTATGTTTCACAGGTACAGTAGTGGATAACCAAACCTTTCTATATGTTAGATACTGTAAGTCTCTTGGTGGGATCTCTCAGCAAACTGCTTGGGTTGACATCCCAATATATGGTGGCTATGCATCAGAGCTGGTAAGGGTGAGGCAGGTGCAGAATTCAAGGAGGCACTCACTCTCAGGGTTGGACAGTGCCAGTCCTGCACCACTGTGTCCTGGGGCCACAGAGCTCTGCAGACCCAACAGACCACTGCCCTGAACTAGCCAACATTCAGGATGCAACATACCTGAAAAGATAGGGAGCTCAGCCATCTTTTTAGACAGTCTCATCACCTTAGATTATTATTATTTTCGAGCTGAAAACTGGCAATGTTCATGGCAAAAGTGAAGTGTGTGTGTGTTTATGCATGTTTGTAGGTGAGAGATTGGGAATCAGAAATAAACAGAATCAGCAATTGAGAAGAAAAGATAAGGACATTAATGTGAACAAGTGAATGCATTCGAGCCCGTAAGCATGGTTCAAATGAGTTGGCACAAATGATTGTGCTGATTCCTCCTCCTAAGAGGGAACTAGAGTTCTAAGCTAGCCACACAGATAAACTGCTTTCTTCCAAAGACTAACTCTGGCTTGACGGGGGGGGTTATAATTTGCACAGTTAATCAGAGGAGAAGGAAATATACGTTCACTCTTAGTTGGAGACAGCCTGTCCTAAATAGGACAGTCAAAAACTGGCTTCAACTCAATAGTTCAATGTGATTTCCATTTGCACTTCTAGGTAATAGAGAGAAGGCTCCTCAGGCTTTAGCTCCTGGATCTATAGGTGCAAATAAAAGTTACAGAATGAAATGTCAGTCTAAGGACCAATTATATTCCCCCGGGAGCTCAGAGGGGTGTCAGGCTGTGGAAGGCAACTTTGATTCCTCCTTCCCTGTGCTGTGCCAGGCAGGTGGCCAGGAGGGAGCTGGAGCAGAGGAAGCTCCAGCAGGCAGGACCCCTTCTTCATGTGCAGTGAGGTGCAGGCTGGAGAAGAGGGCAGGACACCTCATCTGTGGGACAGAGGGCTCTGAGGAGGATGAGAGCCTGGCAGGTTTTGCATCTTCTCCAGAGTAGCCAACCAGCTCTGTCATTGTTGCTGCTGCAGACCTAGAAAAACTGTCTTACCTGGGTTTGAGTAAGGAGTGGTGGAGCAGGAGGAGGCGTGGTTGGAAAGAGCAGTGGGAAAGCCTGAATGCCTCAAAATGACACCTGAGAGATATACCAACACAGGATTTTTTTTTTTTTTTTAGTCGCCCGGGAGAAAATAACTCCTAAAGAAGTGTTCTGTATTTAAGTGACACAAAAGGAAACAGAAAGGACGGAGAACAAAAGGACATGTGGTAAATAGTAAGGCAAGAAGTGCCTGGAGTCTGGGGTGATTTTCTGTGCCATTACTCTGATCTTGCCAGAGGACTAGAACGAATCAGCAGGTAATAAAGTTCATTTGAATGAGTAGCCAAACCTAAGAGCCAGTTACTTATTTTAAGACAGTCTCTGAAAATGTAAATAAATCACATCTTCTTTAAAAATGCAATACAGATCACTAAGTAAGCCACACCAGCAGCTCCTGGGAGAGGCTGGAGGGTGCCGGTCTGGGTCGCCTTTGTCCTCCTAATGCTGAAGTCTTTGTTCCTTCAAGGGGTCATGACTCTTCAGCGCTCACGTAAGGAAGTGATTTATTTCCAAAGACGGGGCACACAAAGCAATATCAGAGTCTGCCAGTTGTGATTTCCAAGTCCAAAGTTAACATTCGTCTCAACTTTAACATGCCAGTGCTTTGGAGCAAATGAGATTGCTCTCCTTCTCCTTCAAATTATGAATTATGCATTAGCTTCTTGGTCCTCTGGTCCAAGTCACATGTCAAAAAATAAAATCGGAATTAATCTGAACTTGAGGGCTTATTTTCACAAACAGGGCCCTCTAGGCTGGCCCAGGCAAATCTAAAAAATGCAAAAGGATAAATATTCACCGTGTGCTTTGGATGAAATTTGAATTTGATGATTTTTCTGTTCTTCATGCATTATAAAAAAGGATAACGTTATTAAGAGAAAATAGCTCTGTAAGATTGGCTTGAACTATATTCTCATTGCTACTGAAGTAAGTATAAATGCCCTGTTATTTCCATTAAATATACAATAGTTCATCATTGTGTTTGCAGTCCAGTTACAAGTCTCCTAATTCTTAAACTACTTTTGATGTCTTAGAGTAAAGGAAACATCCAACATGCAGAAGAATAAAACCTTTTCTTATTTACACTTTAAAAATGGACCTGAGTAAACTACAAGGAGTAATGATGGAGATTCTAAGAACAGGACTCTGGCAATTACAGTAAAGATACAACTGGGCCCATGTGGGGTGAATGGCATTGTTTTTTACCCTCATCATCCCTATGGCTCTATTAGAGAAACATACACACAGTCTACAAAAAAAAATTCGAGAGAAGAACTGCCCAGCTGAGAACTACAGCATCCATTCCATACCTTGACAGATGGGCAGGTTATCCCACGTTCCATCACTGTGACATAATGAAACCATGCTGTATAGGTCGGGGTAACGGATCTTGAATCCTTCATGACAAGTGATGATTAACTTTTCTCCGGGTCCATATGACTTGTTATGAATCTCAGCATCTTCAATTTGAGGAATACGACATTCTGCAATTTTGTAAAAGGTATACATTATTTTTGGAATTTAAAAACAGTGTGGCTAACAGCTTCGCAAGAAAAACTCTTACTTTCAGTCTTGGTCTCAACCTAGACAGTAATCTGATGAGTGGCTTCTTATTTGTCACTAGGCTCAGGTGCCAACGACAAAGGAGTAACAGGAAGGGGTGGCTCAGAAGAGGGACCCAGTGCGTGGGGACCCAGTCACAAAGGAACTTGAGTTCCTGCCTGTGACACTACACCATACAGTTGATCTTAGGAACTATTTTGGAAATAGGTGAAGAAAGACAAGCATTGAGGATTAACCAGAACAATCTGGTTACACACTTTGCTGTGTTTGTGGACAATACATGACACACAGCAGCCTGACGAGCCGGTTCCACAGTTGCCCAGTCATGCCACCTCTGCCTGAGGGCCCATCCCTGAGCCTGATAAGAAAATAAGCTTTGCAGAACAGCACGGGGTTGAGCTGTGGTTGCATTTGCCATTAGCATCTCCCATCCACCTTATCCATTTTTTAAAAAGATAATAGAGCTGCACATACTATTGCCAATCTCACCAAGGCTCGAACAAGTCATTGTGGTGCCTCCTAGAAGTGGAGTGGGAGCAGAACGCATGTGTATGAGAGAAGGAGACAAGACTGGGGGGCAGGAGAAGGCTGGTGGAGGAATAAGGAGCCCATGCAGTAAAACGATAAAAAGACAAAATGAACAAGTTATCATGACCCATTTCTAGCTGAATCTACTTCCAGAGCCTGCTTCACAGAAATAACCGGAAGGGATGGCTCAGAAAGAGGGATCTAGGATGTGGGGATCCAATCACAAAGGAACTTTAGTTCCTGTCTGTGACACTTCACACTGTACAGTTAATCTTGGGAACAATTTCTTCCCACACACAATGAAAGACAAGCACTGAGCATTAACCAGACATTTAATCAGAACTATCTGGTTACACACTTTGCAGTGTGTTCACTGTCCAGGCCACTCCACCACTTGCTGCCAGGTGGGGATCCTGCTACCTGGCACCCTTCTACCCTTAAACACTGCCCAACTAACCTCATCTGATTAGTTGGGCTTAATCATGATGTGTCTCTCTCCATCTTTTATGGGCACATCTCTGTTTCATGTTTCTGGTTTTAAGTGCATACAAGGGGGAGACCCTCAAAACACAGAATTACGTTTTGGGCAGGCCCCTTGTAGTACAGGTTTCTCCCACTAGGTAAGTAGCCTAGAAACTCACTGACATCAGCGTTCCAGCTAGCGTTGTGAGAGGCTATGTTTGGCTTCAGTGAAATTTTTTTGGAGATTCTCTCAACATGTAAATGGGTGGATTTTGGGGGGGAGATTCTTTCAACAAGTAAATGGGTAATTTGTGAGCGTACCTGCCCACCCCACACTGAGTGTTCAGCAGCTTTTGACCAAAACCGGCCTGACCCCCATGTCCCACCCTCCCTATTAACCCGATCCCGGCCCCGAGAGGCTTTTCTTTGTTTCTCCAGAGGAAAAAAGTCTTCAAAATGAAACATTCTGCTGATGTGGAAGAGGTGAAACAAAAAACAGCAGAAGCACTAGGAGGCATAAAAATGGATGAGTTTAAATACTGTTTTGAGTAGCGAAAAAAAGCTTCTCGATCGGTGCATTGCATCAAATGGAGAGTACTTTGAGGGTGACTGAAGTTTAAACATGTAAGAATAAATACATAATTTTTTTGTAAATAAATTCTGTTTGGGGGAATCGCTCCTTGTATATGCTTCTTTTTTTTTTTTTCTTTTTGAGTCGGAGTCTCACTCTGTCGCCCAGACTGGAGTGCAGTGGCTGCTCCCGGCCACCGCAGCCTCGACTTGCTGGGCTCTGACGATCCTTCCGCCTCAGCCTTCCGAGTAGCCGGAATTACAGGCATGCGCTACCACACCCGGTTGACTTTTTGATTATTGTAGAGATGAGGTCTCGCTGCCCAGGCAGGTCTCAAACCTGCGGGCTCAGGCAATCCACTCACTTCAGCCTCCCAAAGGCGTGGGATTACAGGCTGAGCCACCGAGCCCGGCTTTTGTATATGCTTCTAAGCAAGACCTACAGATGGGTTATGTTCCAAATATGTTGGTTCTTAATTTTTTGAAAGAAGGCAAAATCCAAGAACATCACTTTTTTTTTTTTCTGAGTTGGAGTCACACTCTGTCACCCAGGCTGGAGTGCAGTGGCACACTCACAGCCACTGCAGACTCTACCTGCTGGGCTCAGGCAATCCTTCCACCTCAGCTTCCATGTAGCTGGAACCACAGGTGTGCACCACCACACCCAGCTATTTTTTTATTTATTGTAGAGACGAGGTCTTGTCAAACTGCCCAGGCTGTTCTTGAACCCCTGGGCTCAGGCAATCCACTCAACTCCACCTCCCAAAGTGCTGGGATTATAGGTGTGAGCCACTGAGCCAGTCTGGCAAGACTTCATTAATCATAGAAATGTCTCTATGCTTTAAAAGATTGTAGGTTTCTCATCCATTCTCCAGATCATACTGAATCCACAACATGGCTGAAATAGTATTAATAGGAACCCCGACTATTAAGTCGCTCTCAGCTTTGAACTCTCTGCTCTGAGGCACTGAGCCCTGGGAATCTTGACGTGGATGGAGGGAAGAGAAGGAGTCGTGGTTGGCTGGGTACAAACTCTGGAGGCTGGGAACTTTGGTGACTTGAAAAAGGGCACATCCCAAGAGCTTTGAGGGGGGATTGGGGCTGGGATTACTGGGGCAATGCGGACTCTTGATACAACAAACTCCAGAAAACAGGACGTCAATGATGGGAAAGACTGAGGTGGCAGGGGCCTCCCCGTTAGAGGAGGGCCTGGCAGCTGGGAGTGAAGGAGTAGTGGCCATTCACTGCCTGTATGGGTCAGCTGAAGTCAAATGCCTGTAGGCTCAGGTCTGCCCTTATCCCAGCTTTTGTCTCCGCCATTAGCTTGAGAGCAGAGACTGTGTGATCACTGCCTCTGACATTCCTTCCATGCTCCCAATCTGGACACGCACCTGGCAAAGAAGTGCCGAGGCAGCCGTCTGAACCTCTGTCTGAATGCTGTGAGCATGCAGCCCTTGGGAGCCTGCCTAACAGGCTTTCAGCATAGCCCCACGGCTCAGCCTTCCCTGAGGACACCTATCATCAGCCTTCTCTTTGCCCAGGGATTTCAGTGAAGAGCATCTTGGCTGAAAAACTGAGTTCTGGTTTCAATTTTACCTCTCATGTTTGTGTGGAAAGGGGTTTTCTAAATCTTCATGTTTAACCAACAGTTTCCAGGCTAAAGTAGCTGAATCTTCCCAGAATCAATCCCAATCCCAGAATAATTCTGACGGGAGTCATAAGATCACTGACTACTTGTTGCACCCCCCTACTGCTTACTGCTTTCTTCTCCTTCTCCTTCTCCCTCTCCTTCTCTCCCTCTTCTCCCTCTTCCTCTTTCTCTTCCTCTCCTGCTCCTGCTCCTGCTTCTGTTTCTGCTTCTGCTGCTTCTTCTTTTGTCTCACTTTGTCACTCAGGCTAGAGTTCAGTGGCATGATCACAGTTCATCATAGCCTCAAACTCTTGGGCTCAGGCAATCTTTCCACCTCAGTCTCCAGTATAGCTGAGACTACAATGCACAACTCTATGCCTGGCTAATTTTTAAATTTTTTTTGTAAAGACGAGATCTTGCTATATTACCTAGGCTGGTCCAGAACCCCTGGCTAAAACAATCCTTCTGTCTCGGTCTCCCAAAGTGCTGGGATTACAGGCATGAGCCACTGCATCTGGCCCTGCTTTCTTCTTCATGGGAAATGTGAATTATGTTTCTTTCAATGGCACTATACAAAAATTATTCACAGCAAATAAAAACACATTTATCAAGGCATCGGTCTGTAAAATCTGGGTTATAAATGGGTCCTGTGGCAGTAATTTACACATCTAGACAGCTATTTTCATGATTGACTTAAAACTTGTTCAAGAATTAACCAGTACACTCAGGAGGTGGCCAGTACAGAAATGTCCATTTAGACATTATGGGCACATGGACACTGGTTGGCCAGGAGCAAAAGCACCCAAGCCTTGTTTCCAAGGGTGATTTCTCAGTATAGTAGTGTCTAATGTAGACTGCTTTGAACTTCCAATTAGAACTCCAAGTTTCCACAAGCAGGAGTTGGGGATTATCAAAGAGCATACAACACAGGGTTCCAAGGGATTTCGCAACTTCCCGAATTCCAGTGATTATGTCCTCTGCTCAAAGAACAGTCACCACAGTGAGTGATGAGGGGCCAATTTACTATATAGGAGGAGCCTCATATCCACTGGGGAGTAGGAAGTTATAGTTCAAATGCTACCAAGGTGGAGAGGCCCAAAGGGGCTGTGCCCTAGGAGTAAGGATATAAGGAGCATAGACCGGTTCTAACAAAAAACCAAACCTTGACAGGAGAAACATCATCTAGAGTCTCTCCAATTTTTTATCCATGGTATCTGGCATCTAAACCTCCAATGGAAGGAGGGTGAAACAGGAAGAAGAGGACATCTGGAACAAGTATATGCCCCAGTGAGTGCTCTGTGATAATAAATAAACATGGGCCTTATTTCTATAGGAGAAAATAATCCAGGCTGTTTTGTGTCTGAAAATAAAAGGGTAATCTTCATCGATTCTGAAGTTTCCAATGGAAATAACACAATTTTCTATAGCATAAATTCATAGTCAACAGAAAGAATTGTGAAAAGGCAACTCAAACATACTGTTGTCAGGAACTATAGGAAAACATTACTAATAGCTGATTCTGTCATATAGAATCTGGTCAACAACCAGAACTTATGAAATCGGGGCATAAATGGACACTTTCAAGCTGTAACTTGAGGGATGTCAAAGGCTTCCGTTATGGAAATTATCTTTTGTCTGCCCACTGCTGTCATTATTTTTGTACCCTGCTTCTGATAACAATGGGATTCAATACAGTGAACAAAGAAAATAAATGGTAAAAGATCCTAAGGG